CATTTGGATCTTCTTTTATGCTCTTCATCAAACTTTCATCACTTAATTAGCTTGATATTAAGGACTGTAGACAGTTTCATTCTAATATAAATTACATGTTGCATTACATAGGAACTGCATTTTCTGACTGCTATTGTTACTTAGATTAAAAAAATACTATTTGGTACATTCTAATCTTTTTTCTTTTTAAACTCTCACGAGATTTAATAGTTGTTGTTATGTGCCATGGAATCGCCTGTGACTCACAACAACCCTATGTATAACAGCCCTAAATCTTGCTCTGTCCTGTTAAATTATCTATGTAAAGAATCACATCACCCACAACTAAGGACAGTTTTAGTTTTCCAGTCTAATCCAAATACTGTTTATTTCTTGTTCACACACAATTACCCTTGTTGAGATAGCCAGCACTGTTTTTATAAGGAGCACAGGCCACAGGCCTCCTGTCTGCTTCCTGACAGTAAAAAGACTGCTTGTGACATGAATTCAGTGTAATACTGGCTAACAACACACTTCAAGAGATCGTGGTTTTCAAGCATTCCTGGTATGCCATGAGGTTTATTTTTTTATTATGGCTATTGCATTTTGTCAAATTCTTAATTGTGCCTTATGAGCATTAATGAAAATTAAGAATCTGACAACATGTAGTAACAATAAGTTTTTCAAATTATGTCTAGTAAGAAATAATTAATAAATGTTAATAAGAGATCTCTCCTCGTGTGTGATTTACTGCCTCTGAATACCTCCTGGAGTGTCAGCCATGAGCCAGTTCTGACATGACAGCACACAACAACAACAGTGACCTAGTAGGAGTTGTGCTACCAACCCAAAGGCAGGTGGTTCAAATCCAACAGCTGCTCCACAGAACAAAGTAGAGCAGTCGCCTCCTGTATGATTTACAGCCTCTGAAATCTCGCTGATGAGTCAGCTATGGGTCAGTTTTGACTTGGTGGCAATGAGGGTTTGGTGTGTTTTGTTTTGTTGTGTTAATCATATGTGAGTTACCGTCTTATTTATACTGGACACTCCCATAAAATGCTCCATCTGGGATTCTGTGGAAGTGACCATGAGAAAAGGAGTCCTGAAAACAAAGCACATCAGGCTTAATTTGGGAGAATTAATTTTTAATCTAGCTTCAAAATGTCACCAATTCTGCACAATATATCCCTATCTTTCTAGGAGCTTTTCCCTATCTCTGTGTAAGAATTGCAGAGACAGAATACAAGATTTATTCCTTAAGATTCAAATTTTGGGGAAATTTTCCCATTACCCATTTCAATTATTCTGAATCCAGAAATTGTCAAAAGAGACTGAAGAAAGGCAAAAGAAAGTCTCATATAAATTTCCCTAGTGGCAAGAAGCTGCGTTGCAATCCTGAAGGCACATGGTTCAAATCCACCAGCCACTCCACGGGAGAAGGATGGACAATTTTCTCCCGTGTGATTAACTGCTTCTGAAAACTCACTGGAGGGTCAGCTATAGGTCGGTTCCAATTCGATGGTACACAACAACAATAACAGGCTGTCTTTAGAGCACAAATGCTAAACAAATTTTTGAAAAATGAAATGTATTCATTAAACCTCTCTCTCTGTACTTCACTCAGAAGCTATGTGGTTGAGATCTTTGGTTGACTTTTTCTTCAGCCTGGCTCTAGGACAAATCGTTAATGTTATCTGGTATTCAAATGAACAGCACTTAGGAAAGCTAGCTGTAGATCCAAATCCAGAAAAACTGGGATCAGCCTGTCCCTTGGGACAGCTCGGGGATCTACATCCCTGAAAACAGGACCTGGGGCTCCCCAACTTAAAATCGGGAAAATGTGGACTTATTAATTTTCTTTCCTTAATTAAAAGGAGATGTACATCCTGAGGAAGCTTTTTTTTTAACCTGTGCAGTATGCATAATAATACACACAATTAAATATCTACATTAAATAAAAACGCCTCATTACCTAAGCTAGACTTAGTTTAATTAAAAAGTAAATCAACTTTGTAAGGAAAAACAATTGCCAACAGGCACAAAGAGCTCACTTTAATTTGGAATCTTTGTACACACCTACCACTAGAGGCACGAGCTTTATCACATAGGCTGAGAAACAAGAAAACAGACTGAATAAAACTACATAACCTTTGCCATTTCAGGTGATTAAAGGGAGAGACATTATTAATGAGGGTGAGTACGCAGCATTGAATACATCACAAATTACAGTGCACACAGTTAAGGCCAACTGCCAACCCTCTGATGCTAATCGGGGGTTTGTAATCAAGGTACAGGCAGTCAGAGGTACAATACTTTTCACTGTGAGCTGGCTGGCACAACCAGAGACACAAAGAAAAGACACAAAAAGACTTTGTATTCACCTTTTGAAGCTTAATTTTACTGCATACTTGGAGATTAATAAAGGCAACTTTGCCCTGAGCACAGGAATGTCTTTGAAGTGAAAAGGCATTTGCAGAAAAGGAACTGTGAACAGGTGCAGTGTGAGTTTAATGTTAAAATTCCTGCCTTTGATGCAGAAGACCTGGGTTCAATTCCTGGTCAATGCTCTTCACATCACAAGAGTCCCTTGAGGCCTGTGGATTGCTATGATGCTGAACAGGTTTCAGCAGTTTCCAAACAAGGAGTAGGAAAAAAGGTCTGGCAATCTACTTCAGGAAATCAATCCATGAAATCCACATGGATCACAAGATTTGATCTTTTTTTTTTTTACTTTATTTTAATTATTAAATTTTATTAGTTTTAATGAACATTTACAGAGATTTTGGGTTTTCATTCATTCATTGTTGCACTGTACAAGATTTGATCTTGTGGTGCATATGTTTGCCATGAGTTGGAAGTCAACTTGGCAGCAGCTAGCAACTGTGTGCCTCCTTCTCTAGCCAACAAATAACAAACTGCTTTCTCAGTTCACACGGGGTACTGAAAATTGTCCCAGGCTTCTAGAGAAGAGGCTTTAATTAAATGAGCAGGTTGTCACCATCATATGACCAGTTTTAGGCACCAGTTGAATGGTTACATTTATCTCTTCCTCAATAGGACCACACAGGTTTATAGCTAGGAAAGCTAAAACCAGATGAGCATTTGTTTTTGAAAAAATATTTAGTTCCTAAATCTCCCCTCCATTTATTTACCTACTTTTGATCAATCTCTCACAGTCGCAGAAAGAAACAATAGTTCCTCTGGGGTCTACTTAGCTCTTGATATCAATTTACCAAATTCCATGGCCAATAATCTTCAGGTTTATGGAAACAAGCGTATCTAAGGGACGAGCTGTGAGATCAGGATGTGCAGTGGGTAACACTATGTGCACATGTGTACCTGGTCTTCCATAAGATATCTGTGGTTCCACATAACAGAGAAAAATACTAGCTTCCTGTGGCTCCTACAGAAAGAAAGCCAAGTGGAACAAGTTCTAGAGGAGCCTTGGACCACGCGACCCCTTTGGATGATATAGATCAGAGTAAGTGACAAGACTCAGAGTTACTCACAAAATCAAGGCACTGAAGACCATAAGACTCATTCTCCCTGGGATCTGTTAGCCCAAGGGTAGAGGATTTGTTGAAGCAAATCCATTTAGACAAAACAGCAGGCTACTCCTGTATTTACTGCCATTGAGTCAGAAGTGATTCATAGATGACTCTCTACTGTCTTCCAAGGCCAGGAAACTTTCTCCCTCCGAGCCACCGGTGGGTTCGAACCAGCAGAGAAGCACAGCCTTTAGGTCAGCAGCACAACTTCCTGTGGTCTAGGCCACCAAGCTCTTTAAGGTCCGGTTTCCTTCTTACTCAGGGGAATATTCTGGCTTCAACTGGCTTCCACCAGTTGAAGCCAGAATGAAGGGGGGATCAAGTATCAAGTGAGCATTTACTTTATCTTGATGGACACGGACATGATACAACTGATGACCTGATGAACGTGTCTCATGCCTGCTGAAAGCTCTCATCCTCCCTCTCATAATGGGCATTCTCATCAGATACCTAACAGTCTCCAATGACTACAAGCTGCCCTGTAGGTAACACGATACTGAACATGTCAGCAACGAGCAAATTTTCTTTATTCCCCTCCTCATCCTCATGTTTCGTTTTCAATAAGAGGAAGTAAAAAAGGAAATATCAGACATACAGAAAGAAAGTGTTGGGTTTGTTTTCCTTTAAGAGAGTATTCCCTAGTGGAAGAAATACACTAAACCCTCAGAGACATAAAAATTGAAGAAGGGGCCAGAAGACCTCTGACAAACTGTAGCCTGGGGCCGACAGGTACTGTCTGCCGAGCATCTCCAGAAAACCCAACTGAAGCCCCTGTTCTATGGGGACATGAAGAATCTAGAAGAAGAGAGCCAGAATGAATCACTCCCATAACTTTATAAAAGAAGAAAAAAGGGCCAAAAGAAGGGACCAAATACTTAATGTGTACATCATACTTTCAGAACAATGAGGAATGAAAATAAAGATTGTATTAAAAAAATAAAAGGATGCTCTTTTATTCTCAATGCCTCTAATATAGAAGCCTAAAAGAATAAAATAATGACAACAGTATTTGGCCCAGAATGAAGAGATGTTCTCATGGGTAGAAGTTTCAGAATATAGAAGAAGCACATCCCTCAAGTCTAGAGGTATCCGAGGATAGGAAAGAGAAAACCACACAACCTGAACCTGAATAACCTTTACAGTCATCATTTCAATAGTGGATTTCTAGTCATTTTGCTTTTCCCAGGGTCTGAAAATTTGACCAGAGAGTTAACCGAGCAAAAGTTAAGATCTTCACAATTGATTTGCACCAGGATATGGAGTGTGTTTTGATTAGCTAGCTCAAAAACAACTACGTAGAAAGAAAAACTAGGAAAAGGAGAGAGGAGGAGAGGGGGAGAAAGGGGGAGAGGGGGAGAGAGGAGAAGATAGAGGGGGAGAGAAGAATAAAGAGGGAGAGGGGAAAGAGAGGGGAAGGGGGAGACGGAGAGGGAGAGGGGGAGAGAGAGAGAAAAGAAAAGGTCATTCATTTACTCTAAGAATCCAGGTTTATGCTTATGGTCCACATGAGGTCCAAACTGTATCTGGGCTTGAAATCCACCAAACTCACAAGCCTTTTCAAAGGAGACGGGGTGGGAGCCGTTCAGGATGTCATCCCGAGCCTGAAATATAACAAGAAGTAAAAGCATGAGGGGTTTGAGGTGATAAGCTGATCTTTGCACAGGCACATCCTGCTCCAGAACAGTGTCCACAGAGGACGTGTGCCCGCCCAACCACCAGCATGCTTTCACAATGCTGCGTCGGGAGTAGCACAGGAGATGAAAAGGAAAAGACCAGTTGTTTTCTTTTTAACTCCAAATTGCTTGAATATAAAAGGCATCAGTACTGTCCAGTATATAAAAACAAAGCTTGATTATAATCTAGGAAGGCAGATGTGATTATGAAAAATAGAGACAAAGAAAATTGTTCTCAAATTAGCAGGTTCACAGAGGCCAAAATAAAAGCACAGTTTACTTTTTATGACCCTGAAATCAGAAAGCTAGCAGAGGAAATCTGTAGAGGTAAAAAGTAATCCAACTCCAGATTCCAAATCAAAAGGAGACAGACGGGCAGACACAAATAAGCAAGAATACTCAAGACACTAAGGGGGAATAGTAAGGCCATGCACAGTCCTCAAAATAGGAACTCAGTGTGTGAGAGGCCTTCCACCAACACTGCTATCGTTATTTACCCGTCTTTTTTCTGTCCTTCTCTAGTTCAACTCATTGCCAGCAAGTTGGAAATGGCCCATAGCTGACTATCCATTGAGTTTCTGAGGCTGTAATTAGCACGAGAAGTAACTGCCCATTTGAACTACCAGAGAGGTGTGAACACTGGGTTAGCAACTTCCTAAGGACGAGGCCACCAGAGAGCCCTTCTCTCTAGTTATGATCCCAAAATGCCCTCCAGTGTGTCTACATTAGCTGCCCTGAGCTATCACTCTAAATCAACAAGGATTCTGTCATTGTCCTGATATCTTGAATTTTTCATACTTCCCCCCTCCAGCCTTCCTTCAATGCCACTCCTCACACACTAATTTAAAAATCAGCTCTGAGTTGTGTACTAATAAAACTTTATTTATAAATATATGTAGCCAGTTAAATAAACTTTATTTATAAATACAGCCAAATAAATATAATATTTCTATGGGCAAATAAGAGAACTAAATTGAAGGAGGGTGAGAAAGGGAGAAAGAAAATGAGGTGAAAGATTAAACTATCTTTGAGTACCGTGAAATCTTGGGGTTGACCTAATGCCATGCTCACATTTTATACATTAGGAAACTACAACTCAGATTAAGTTAAACGACTTATCCAAGCTTAAACAATTAGTTAATGGTAACGACATAAGAGGTTATTGAGAGGCTTCTTTTCTGTTAATGAGAATTACTGATTTTTTAAATTTTACTGCCTGACACACTGTCGTATTGCTGGCTGTCAGGTGAGAAAGCTGTACTGTGTTTGGAGCACTGCATCAGCGCAGTCAACACAACTGTCGTTCCAAGCCAGACAGAGAAGAAAGGTTCTGGACAGCAGGTGCCAATCCGGGCAGCCAGCAGCCTGCATGAAGGATCAACCTGAGCTACAGCCAGAAATGTGCACAGAGCCCACGTGCAGTGTCTGCTGGGAACGGGATTCCATCATAAACATGATAGAAGCTGGAGCAGAGCCCTGCTCGTGGTCAGGCGCGTCCAGCAAGCTCATCAATCTCAGCTCTGAGCATCAAATACCATACCTGAACATAAAGCAGGTTCAGCTGCACCGGGTCTCGTGAATCGACGTTCTGATCAGAGTAAAAGAACTTCCGTCTAAGCAGCAGGGTTTCGTTTTCATCTACTCCTTGTTCTCTGAACGTTCGGCTGTGATCCAGCCAATTTACTGCAACACAGTAAGACATGCGAAAGAACTGTTTATGCTTCTTCTTAATTAAAGGGGGTTTTACCAAACAGTAGAGTGATAGGCATGCTGGTTTCTGCATCACTATTACCCAATTCTTGGTTACTGTTAGAACTGAGCTGTCTGTAACCTTGATAAGGAAGTTCATTTGTACTATCTGATGCCCCACAGAAGGAATGAGAGCAAACATTCCGAGCCTTTCCTAAAGGGAGCTAACTCACTCAGACGGAACTGATAGCCCACACCGAAGCCTGGCTGAGTGGAGAAGTAAGGGAATGAGTGCTTTGTGCTAAGATAACCCACACTGGGCAATTCTTTTAACCAAAGAGCAGTCCCATCAAGTGAAATAATTTATTAACTCTGGGCATAAGGATTTAGCTTCAACACTAATTAGAAAAGAGAAGAATAGAAATAAAAGTAATGGGAGGAGAGAGTATCAGAGCGAGGTGAGGGGGGAAGAGAGAAGGGGTAAACATTAGAGGGTTGGATAGCAGAAGCCCAGCACGGGGTCCCTCTAAGCTTCACCCAACCTGAGAACTCTCTCCTAGTACATGTCATTGTTGCTGCTGTTGTTCTGATTCTAAATCAGTGTTCCCATAAGACAGAGTAAAACTGTCTGTCAGGGTTTTCACGGTGTCATCTCTGTGAGAGCAGCTCACCAGATCTTTTATTCTTCAGAGTCAATGGCACATTCAAACCTCCTACCTGTAGGTACTAGCAGCCGAGTACTTAACTGATGCACCACCAGGGCTGCTATCTTGACATCTAAGACTGCTGGAATCAATCACTCCTCCACCTTTCCCACAGCTCTCGTACCTATGCTCTGCCCTGGGACTACGATTAACATGCACATGTGGCTAAACACTGGTTAGCAGTCTCACGAGGTGAGAAGCGCCTTCAGCACAGGGCCTATGTCTGGTTGACCTCATCTCCCACAATGCCTAGCGGAGCACCAGGCACCTATTAATAAATCCTCTGGATCTGTCCCTTCAAGTCCTGCTCAGAAAGAAGCACACCACTGGAAATCAAATGAGTCAGAGAGAAAAGAGAAGGGACAAAGGGTCAGAGGAAATGACAGTTCCACTGAAGATCAATAGACACAAGGACAATGATGACATCTTCCCAATGCAGCAGCAAAGGCAAGAACAACAAAAGGGAGAGGCAGGGAGGTCGCGGGGAGCCGTGGCATGGCGGTAAGGCCCTCCCTGGGGAGGATCAGGTAGCAAGTGACATGTCACATGGGCTTTGGGGCACATGCGGTGTGCGTACATTAGCTGTGTGACCACAGAAAATGATTTTCAGATGAGAGAATCACATTACTGTTTTTTTAACCAGGAAGAAAATAATGAATGTAGGCCATGATCATCAATGGCTGTTAACAATATTATGTATGTGAATATGAAAAAATATATATGGGTATGTGGTGCTCTGGTGGCCTAGTGGGTAAAAAGTTGTGTTGCCCATCCACAGGCTGGCAGTTCAGGTCTCCATGAGAGGAAGATGGCAATCCCCTCCTGCACAATTTTACAGACTCTGAAAACTTGCTGGATGATCAGCTATGAGTTAGCTCTGATTCAAAAGCAATGAATGAGTGTGACCACGTGAATCCATAAGCATACATGCATGCTCACACACGGACAAACCTGAGTCTGATTCCAAAAAGCAAACCTCCTGCCATTGGGCCAGTTCTGACACTAAAACAATCCTCCACCACGTTTCTGAGACTTGTAAAGCTCTTAAGGAGATTGACCATCTTTCTCCCATGAATGGCTGGTGGATTCAAACTGCTGACATTTTCATCAGAAGCCCTAGAGGTTCTACCAGGACTCCTTCTGAATCCAATCAGCCCTCTAGTTTTAAGGAATTGAAAGGCCAGACGAACATATTAAATGATACCACATACATCAACAAAATCCAGACTGTGTAGGCAGCACTCTATTATTACCAACCAGCTCTCCAACACACACACACACACACACACACACACACACACACACAACTTGTGCCATGACAATATAAAAGAGAGAGACTCTATTGGCGAAAACAGTTAAGCAATGTAACATCGACTCTTATTTGGATCATAGTTCAAATGAACATTAAATATTTTAAGAAAACAGAGAAAATGTGCATGCAATTTTCATATCTGATATTAAAAGAATTTTTAATATATGAAAAGTAGCTTAATTACATTAGCGTCTTTAAATTTTAAGGAAGTTACACAAATGGAAATATTACAGATGAGAGAAAAAGACAAAATAAAAACAAAAGAGAACTCTGCCCTGTGTCCCACGGCTGATGAGAGGGGAGTAACATCTGGTTAAAAGCTACTCGTTTTCCATCTCAAATACTTACAGTCATCATCTGTGTGCAGTTTGGCCTTCAGCTTCTCCATTTTCCTCTCATCTCGTAAGAGTGTCCGGTCTTTTTTGAGTGTACCTGTCCCTTCTTCTTTCTTTTCTTCCATAGTTTCTTGGATTAGAGAGTATTCTTCATAGTTTGTTATTCCTAAAAGTACACATTGGATTATAATTACAGGTGATGAAGCTGCCGACACCACCTGTCAGCCTGGGGTCTGTAACACGCAGAGGAGCTCAGAGTGGCCAAGGAGAAAAGAGGCCTTCCCAGCATAAGGCCCACGGAGGTGACTCCATGTGACACACCTGCAATCACGCTGGATGAAATGCAGGGCTTTTTAACTCGTTAAATCACATTCAAAATGTCGTGTTCAATTCTTTAGTCTAATTTTTGAGAAACAAGAACAACTTTGTGATCACGCAAAGGAAAGCAAAACAATGTCAAACCCAAAGTGCCTGAAGGAATCAGGCTTCCTCTGTACAAAGACGAAACTAAGGTAGACAAGGCAACTTTCTCCCAGGATCTGAAGGGCTTGCTGTAGAAAGAAGGCTGACTTGTGACTCGTTCCCCAGGGAGAATAACAGGAAAACAGTTGTCTAAGAGTCAATCGTGCAGGCTGTCACCACAGGTGTTAGAAGATGCTGGCTGTCCGGGATGCTGACACAGTATCCCAGCAACGAATAGGAAAACCAGCAATATGACTGGCAAAGCTTTATTTCCAACTTGAAAATGCCTTTAATTTTTGAGAGAAAGGGGTGGGGGAAGCTATCAGTTAGGACTTAACAAGAGGAAAATTCAAGTTTTTTGCACTGTCAATTGATGAATCTCCAAATTGGGAGGATGTACACACTTTCTTGGGGCTGGGCATAAATCTTCATGTGAAAACATATTCAGAAATGTCTAGATAGCAAATAGAGGTGGTAGGGGGAAAAAGAAGAGGGAAGACGCGTGTGTATGTGTGTGTGTGTGTCATATATATATAAATATAAAAGAGACTCATTGCACTGGAAAAATCTTCAGTTAGGGACCTCTCCAAATTATTGAGGAGTAATGATGTCAGTTTGAGAATTAACGTGCATCTGATTCATATCATAGTCTTTCCGATTACTTGCTATGCATCTGAGAGCTGGACAATGATTAAGGATGACAGAAGAAGAACTGATGCCTTTGAGCTGTGCTGTAGGAGAAGAGCACTGAAAACCCCACGGACAGCCAAGAGAACGCTTTAGAGGCAAGAATGATGAAGCTTCACCTCACATACTCTGGGCATGTTGCTAGGAGGTGCTATTCTTTGGAGAAGGACATGATGTTGGGCAGGATGGAGGGTCGGTAAAGGAGAGGAAGACCCTCAACCAGGTGGACTGACATTGTAACTACTGCAATGGGCTCTGTGTGTCAGGAAGCATGAGGATGGTACAGGACAGAACAGGGTTCAGATCTTTTGTTGATGAGTCGTACTTGACAGCACCTAACAACAACTACAACAACAAAAACAACATATATACAAGAAAAGAATAAACCTACGAATGCTCACCTATCCTACTGCAAATGGTGACCAGGAGTTCCCCAACAGTTTTGGAGTCATCCACCATCACTGTCTTCACAGCTCCATCCAGCATCCGGATTTTCTGAGGTCTCTGTTTCTTTTTATATTCCAAAATATCCTAGAATAAAAACCATGCAAACAGCTCATAATGACACATGTGGGTCTAGACGCAGTATTGAGTGAGGAAGCAGCCCGCCAACCTGGACTCTTTACAAAAAGGAACTGTCCCTTTCAGTTTTAGTTGTCAATTCCCAAGTAAATTCCAAGTCAGGACGCCCTTCTGTGGGTCAGATTATCACAGTGCTCCCAAGCATTCCAAAGATGGATTTTTTAAAAAGGAAGTAGACCTTTCACTAGAACCACCAACTGTGAAGGGCTCACTGGCAGAGGGTGTTAACCATTGGGGACTTTAGTGCTAAAAATAGCTACGTTAATCAAGGTCTCTTTAAAACCAGGTAGTGAAATCATAACCAAAGAAGTCATTTTTACAGCTCACAATTACATAAAACTACCTCCCACAAAATCAAAGTGGCATATGTCTTTCTGAAAGGCTGGAAATTATCTGCTCTGGTGAGAATTAGCACAAGAAAATTCTTACTTTCCTTTTTAGAAAACAGTAGTGTTTCTCCAGCTCTTACACTGTCAGAAACAACTGTCACGAAATATATATATGTGAGGAAGGATATCTATCGCACTCCTTAATTCTTCATAGTAACGGGATATGCTTTTAATGACAGTGTAGAATCTCTAATAATGGCAAAAAAATAAATTTGGGAGTTATTTTTTTTTAAGAAAAAAATTTAGTTTTATATTATACTTTTAAAGGAGAACAACTGGAAGCAGGAGCGGCATCCACTTCTGAAATGGCTTGCCTCCGGAAACTCTATGTACGAACAGTGCTCAGGCTGTTCGTTCATAGGGTCGCTATGAGTCATCTACGACTCGACGGCACCAAACAACAACAACAACAACAACAAAAGAGAACAAACAGATCTGTCCTGGAGAGGGTGAACCCAGGCAAGGTGAAACCCTGGAGGCAAGGATTCTGAGGCTTATCTCACATGCTTTGGGCATGTGGCCAGGAGGGACCAGTCCTTGGAGAGAAAGATCACGCCTGGCAGGGTGCAGAGACAGCACAGGAGAGGAAAACCTAAGATGAGATGGATTGACTCAGCGAGTGGAGAAAGGGATTGGGTCTGCTGGCGACAATGCAATTGGCTCAGGGCAGGTTTCAGAGGTAGTGTACAGGGTCACAATGTGTCGCAGGTGACTCAATGGCACATAACATTATACTTTTAAAAACTAGAACTGTGGAATAAAAAAAAAATCAGTTGGCATCATATACTTCTCTCTAGCTTTATAGGATGCAGACTTACATGATAAATAATAAGCCTTGTCCCTCTGATGCTTCCAAAATCTAGTATCTTGTGAGTTAAGCTGAATAAAAGCTTAACATACGGTAGTTAACATGTGTTGGGGGGGCTGTTATAGACAGTTATTATCTCTAACTTGTTATTTACTGGAAGACCCAACAGTGATGACCATCCCATCTCCAACTAACCTGAGGACTACATTTTGGTTTCGCCTCACTGCTACCTGTACTTTGCTATCACCTCCTACATCCAGAAGGTGCTGATTCTTACTTCCTAATTACCAACTCTAATAGTGACAGAGAGAAAGCACTTAAACCATTAACTCCTAAATTCTTTGATTGCTCAGTAAAGTTTTAAGAGATTGAATTGTTGTCATTTCCTATTACCAGTTGGATAGTGCTTACAAAACGCATATTACATGAAACAGTCGGTTCTCACCTTTTCTTTAAAGCGAGACAATCATGGACTTTTTTTTTTAAAGGAAAAATCAACAGCATACGTACCCCATTTCGTAACATGTAGTAATCCAGTGTTCTGCCTGCTTCCAGCCAAATGCCTTTCCTAGGGTCTTCATCCGAAAGAAACAGCCCATAGTCAGAAGCTGGGACAAAGAAAGAAAGAAAAAAATGAAGGACAAAGTGGTGATGAAGCCATCCATGACTTCCAGGCTGCGAGCCTGCGGACTTGGCAAGGACATGGGCATTCCTATCGCCAAGGACATGTTTCACTTTGACACCATTGTCAGTTGCAGACGAAGTTCTGGTGACTTAGTGATAAATAACTGTGTTGTCAGCACAAAGGTACACAGTTCAAACCCACCAGCTGCTCCACTGGAGAAGGATGAGCAATCTCCTCCTGCGCAATTTACTGCCTCTGAAAACCCACTGGAGGATCAGCTATGAGTTAGTTCCAACTCAGTGGTACCGAACAACAACAAGCAGTTTCAGAGACTAAAGCAGATCAGGAAGAACAATGGCTGGGCTGTAAAAGTAATGCCCACAACCAAGGTTCTGGTTTCTTAAGACTAGGGGAGTCCAAGTTGTATCTAAAATTTGGGGGAAACTCAAAGAAACCAGGCAAAATTTCTTCTGACTGAATATGGCTTTATTTTCAATCCTTTGCTATAAAATAGGTCAGGAATCGACAGTGAAGTAGCTATGGAGAAACTGTGACACTGACAAAGCCCAAGGTAAAGTCCACCCAGATAGAGGACAAAGGAGCATCTAACCAGGAACGAGCCCTTGATCATCCCAACACAGTTATAAAAGAAATTGCCCCATACAATGAAGCTTTCCTATCACCAAATTATGAAAAAGTTAACAGTTAACTCCCTATTCTCCAATCAGCCACCACTGAGTCAATCCCAACCGATGGTACTTCTGGGGGTACAAACACTAGTGTATTCCATAGGATCTTCGATGATTGGTTTTCCAGTGATTATTAGGGTCTTTCTCCCAAAACCCTCTAGAACACCAACCATCAACCTTTCTGTTAACAACTAGGCACCAGGAGATCTATGTCCTCATTCAAAAAGAAATACTTTATCATGGAGTCAATTCCATATGTTAAAGAGTAGAACTGAGTTCTACAGGATTCTATTGGTTGTAATCGGGATAGATGCAGATTGCCAGATCTTTTTTTGTAGTACTGACAAGTAGATCCAAACTCTCAGCTTTTCAGCTACTAATGGGAAGCAAACCATTTGCATCACCCACAAAACCTCCATAAAGTCCTACAATCTAACCCAGGGAGTGGGTGGCCATAAGTGGGAGCAATGTATTTCCTGTCTAAATACTTCTCATTTTGTTAATATGATTAAAGAAAGCTTCAGAAACTCAGGTGAGAGTTAGAGTTCCTACTGTTTATCAGGGGAAGAATTTTTTTAAAGTAAACCAAACCAAACATAACAACAACCACCCCATCAGTCAGCCCCACCCTCTTCAAAAACAATCCAACTTCAAGATCTTCTCTGACTCTCCTTCTTTTTCCAGGGACTAGTCCTTTCCAGGGACTAGTTTTTCCTGACAATGTACCTGGAATATGTAAAACAGTTTCCCCATTCATGTCTCTAAGGAGTGCCCTGGCTGTACTCCTTCAAGAAAGCCTTGTTTGTTCTTTTGGCAGCCAGTGGGATATTCAGTGCCCTTCTCCTACACCACAAATCAAAGGCATCACATCTTCTGTCATCCTTATTCACACTCTAACTTTCATATGCATAGGAAGTAACTGAGAAGATCTTGACTTGGCTCAGACATATCTTAGTCTTTAACTGATTGTTCTTCAGAACTGTGGAGACGTCCTTGACAATAGATTTAACCAATGCAACATGTCTTTTGATTTCTTGACTAATGTTAACCATAGGTGTTGATTGCAGATTCAAATAAAATTAAATTATTAAAACTGTAAGACCATCACTGTAAAAATAGAAGGATAACTAGTAGGATGTATCTAAAAGTCCAAAGGGGGAAGGGGAGGTGGACAGGGAACCTGAGGGTAAAGGGGTGTGGGGAGGGGAATCATGGGGTTGCAGAATTTAATGAGTAGAGGAAGGGGGTGTGAAGGAGTTAGCAAAGATCCAGTGGGAACATGAAAAGATGGGGTGATAGTGGGTGTAGTTCAAAGGTGATTAATTTTATAAAACACAATGAATGAGAATGATTGTATGAAACACAATGTTAATGAAAAAATGTATGAAACACAATGTACATGAATGAAACACAAAGTAAAAATATTTTGTATGCAAACCATAACAAAATTGTAAAAACAACAAACCCCGCTTCAATCTTTCTTCTATCATGATGTTGCCTATTTGTCCAGTGGTGAGGATATTTGTTTTCTTGATGAGATGAAATAATATTGAAGACTGTAGTCTTTGCTCTTGTGTAGCAAGTGTTTCAAGTCCTCTTCACTTTGAGCAAGCAAGGCTGTGTCATCTGCCATAGCACAGGCTACTGATGAGCCTTTCTACGATTCCAATGCCACCACAGTCTTCTTCCCATAGTCCACCTTCTCAAATGATTTGCTCAGCACACAGATTGAATAATTATGGAGAAAGGATATCACCCTGACACACACCTCTCCTGATTTAAACCATGCAGCCTTGTTCTAACAGTTGACAGTAGTGTATAGTGGATATGCATTAACTCTAGTGAGAGGAAAGGCAGGATGCAGTATAAAGTAGGCACTACATGACCAAGGGAAATAAAGACACAGAGAAAGAAACATACAAGCATAAAAGGCAGCAACAGTAACTATTATACCATATATAATTTTACAAATGCAGCAACAGCAGTAAAAAATTTGTGAGAGGATACAAAGGGAGTTATGTAAGCCAAATGGATGTTGCATGTGAGGGCAAACAGGAACATATATGGGCTTATATAGTCATACCTATGTGCATATGTACATGTATATTCATATTATAATAGAGAAATACACACCACAGGGGATATAGGTATGGAAACTTTTTATACATATCCTAACACCTTGTGGGAGTACGCTACTAGGTTTGATGATTATAGAACATAGTATAAGGGAACATAAATCAATTGCCATAATATAGTTCCTAAAAATCAAGCTTCGCATTCTAGTGTGGCAAGTAGTGACTGGGGTCTGAATAGTTTATAAGAAGTCACCTAAGATACAAATACTGGTCTCTCTACATTTGGAGCAATGGAGAATACAGAAAATAAAGACTTAAGGAAGAAATTAGTTTATAAAATGAATGGCCCATGAAAACCATAGTTTCTTCTAGCCCAAGACCAGAAGAACTACAGAGTATGTGGCTAACACTATCTACAGGATGACGAAGGACACAACAGAAGGTCTTGGTTAAAAGGGGAGAAAAATACAGACCAAAACTGAAATTTACTGAAAAGACCAGAGTTACTGGAATGATAGAGACCAAGGACTCACTAGGGATCTCTGGGGCTATTTCTAATACATATTTTATTTTTAAAATGTTGTTATGTTTTTAAAAAAAATTTATTATGTTTTTAAATTGTGATTTAAGTGAACATTTATAGAGTAATTTGGTTTCCCATTCAACCAAGTATATAATTTTGTTTTATGTTATTAATTACAATAACTATGTATTACACTGTAATCACACTCTTCTGATTTCCTGTCTGTAATTCTCATTTCCATTAATCCTTCTGGCCCACTCTCTCCTGCCTACTGAGCTTTATTCCTGAGCAAATATTAACCTTCTGATGTCCTATGTGTCATTGCTCGGAAGAGTGAGTACTTCCCTGGTTTTAATGGCCATTTTATATGCCTATTACATGGCTAAAATTGATGAGGTTAAAACAACTATGAGATATCATCTCACCCCAGTCAAAATAGCAAAATTTAACAGAACAGCAAGCAACAAATGCTGGCGAGGTTGTGGAGAAACTGGAAC